CCCCCCCGCGTTGGAATTTCGAAAAATCCTTTCTTAGTGTGCGTTTCCATGACGTACCCTAACTGTGTACCAAATTTCACCTCTTTAGGTTAAGCGGTTTGCTCTGGGCGATGATGAATCAGTGAATGAATGAGTGAGTCAGTCAGGACAAGCAATTTTATATATTTAGATAAAGATTATTTTAATTACTTTAGGTCTAATTGCAGTATAGCATCAGATATTTGAAATATCATTTCTAATTACAGTATTAAAATTTCCTAATGGGCATCATTAGATCAATAAGAGATTTGATGTAATTATATAATCTTTCTTCATGAAGAGGGATCATTTATTATGTTAGTACATGAATTTTGTGGTAAGCTACCCAAGGTTAGCTTACAATAGCCAGAAGTGATGTCATATCCAAACTTTAAGTCAAATATCTCATAAAGGATTGTGTATAGGACTACGATCCTTTCGATTTATTGATCCTCTTGGAGTTACCACCCCTCATTCAGAGCTAGAATCTCATCACTTGAAAAATCCAAAATGTATATTTAAAATATTATATATATTGAATAGTATGCAAATATACACCCACAACTGCTGTAAATAATCAAGTTAAATTTGGATATAATGATTATAAATTAGAAATGAATTTGGCACTAGAATGAGGCGTTAGGCGCCATCTCGTATTAATCTAAATTAATTAATTAAATATTATAATTATTAATTTTAATACAAGATGGCACCTAACGCCTCACTCTAGTGCCAAATTCATTTCTAATTTATAATCATTATATCCAAATTTAGCTCGATTATTTACGGCAGTTGTGGGTGTATATTCGTTTAATATATCAGGTTTTGATTGTGTATATTTGTATATTGAATATTATGAAAACTCTTTGGACATCATTACATCATTTTTAAATTTATATTTATATATCAAATGTGCAGTTTGAATTCATTATTACACTATCTCTCTTAATCAAAGACCATATAATCAAAGACCATATAAGTATAAAAATTCTCTTCCTAATCTAATATTTAGTAAATAACTTATTCAATTTTAATTACTTCAATAATCCAAAGATAAAAATGTCTTTTCAAATGATTTTAAAACTAAGCAACAAATCATTTAATAAAGCACAAATGCAACATGAAGTACTACAAATAAACCAACCAATAATCATATAATCTTCATGACAATGGGTCAGACAATTCTGTATTCTCTTTTTATGATAAAGATGTCCAAAAGGTATTTTCATCAACTACATTTGTATCTTAAATGAATTTTGAGTTCATTATAACATGATGCCTTCATTATAACAGCCGAAGTTTTCATCTCTAAAATGTGAATTATTCCGGTACTTTGAAACCGTGCTAGTAGTTATTAGTAGTAATTCAATGAATTACTACTAAAATGTGAATGTCGAACATCGAGCACAGCAATCTTGTAAGCGGCACTTAACATTCAACGTTCATACTTTAGAGATGAAACTTTAGCCACAACCTTGCTAGTATTTTTCAACCACTGGTCTATAGAAAAATATTCTATCCTACCAACACTGGCGCAGTCAATTATCGGCAATACTTAAATAGAAATCTAGTGTTACAATCAAAAGCAGATCTCGGTTTTTTGGGTCCTAGGGCTTATTGAAGTCCAATGAGGCCCCATTTTTTGTTAGATTAAGAACCTTTAAGTTAAATTGGGGTTTAAAATTAATTTTTAATAACATCACAAACTTTATATCGATAAGTGCTCATTGTTAATGAAAAAGTATTAAAAATTTATGATAATAATTCAATTTTTGTGCGCACTTGACACTTGGGGTCCAGGGCTTAAGCCCTATTAGTCCCTATGTAGATCCATCACTAGTTACCATACATATTTTGTTACATGCAATAACTCTATATGAGCGTAATAGATAAGCAAAATTCACAGCTGCATTAAATTACTACTCCACATAAAATTATCCACCATTACTAAACCTTTAATTCCGGTAACATAGCATTTAATACAATATCGAACTAACACTTTAGACCTTACCCAAGGTCTGCTTCAGGTTCTTAAACAAATTATGTCCAAAAATGGAACGCTTAGAATTGAACGTTTTTTAAATGCATTAAATTTTAAAAATTCAGAACATAAATCAAAATTGGAACAATTTGTTTAAGAACCCGAAGCAGAACTTGGGTAAGGTCAAAAGCATTAGTTCGATATTGTATTAAATGCTACATTACAGGAATTAAAGATTTAGTAATGGCATTCATCAATACCGGTAAATAAACTAGAACAGGGCTTCTTAAACTTTTTTTATTCACGACCCCATTTATGATTGTGATTTTTTTCGCGACCCCCAAAAAAAAAAATATAAAATAAAGATATATACAAATTTGCAAAAAGAATAATGATCTGCTACCTGGTGTCTTGTGTTACAATCAGAGCTGTGGAGTCGCATAAAAATCTACCGACTCCAACTCCAACTCCGACTTTTCCTTATCATGGGACTCCGACTAGGGGCAGACTTGTTACCGAAAGAGACCCGGAAATTCTGATGTCATCACTTGACCTCAGAATAAAATATTCAATAAATAAAGTTGTAATAAAGACAGAGCGTAGAAACTTTTTATTCCAAAGCTAAAAGACTTATCTAAGTAACATAGAAATATGTATTCGATAATTTTTACTTTTCCGGCTGTTATACAGAAGGAAAGTGTAGCGCTCGGTCAAAAAATGACCCCGCCCAAATTTTTACATTTTTGGACTCGGAACACCTTGAAATTTCGAGATATGCAAAAGATTAGAGGTTTTTCCTATATGTGTGGATGTTAGACTGTGTGTGGGGGGGCATGATTTCATTCACCCTGTTTGAAGCCTAATAATTTCTGTAGTCAGAGTGGTCAAAATCGGAGTCGGATGGTTTAACACAGGAGTTAGTTATTTAAGTCAAAGTGGTTGAACTAAATCATTCTAACATCTTAAGCGAGAACATCTTAACAGGTTTTACTGTATTATTATAAAATGGCAAAAAAGCTTACTTTGAGGGTAAAGATGAGTTTTGTTTTATTTTTTTAAATTTTGAACGCTAATAACGAGTAAAATATTCATTAAGAGATATGATACATGATCACTTTTATGTCTTTACCCTGTCGACCTTTAATTAAGAAATTTAATAATAATAAACAATAAACAATAAGAACCAAAATTTAATAATAATAAACAATATCTCAGAACAGAAAATAAAGAAATTAAACAAATTAGACGCCAACACACACGCGTGCGCGAATTTTTCCCCTTTATTGACTTTTTTGAGGGGTTCGGGAGTTCTCCAAACGTGTAGATTTGCAAAAAAAAAACTTGGAGGGTCAAATTTGACACGATTCCAATACTTTTCCGTTTTATATACATAACAAGTTGGTAAGTAAAAAGGAGTCGGAGTCGGCGGATTTTTTGACGACTCCGACTCCGACTCCACAGCCCTGATTACCTTGGAACAGAGACAACTGAATACACTGAAAAGCGACAACACTGCACTAGTTCACACTACAATCAGTGTTGCTAAATCATTGTCTCCCTGCACCAGAAGTGACACAAAGAGCAACTCACGAAACCTATGACACAAAGCTTGCCATTTTCAAACTCTCACAAATTATTTTCAATATTTTTCATTAAAATCTCGCGACCCCAAGATTTCGCTAAGAGACCCCAAATGGGGTCGCGACCCATAGTTTAAGAAGCCCTGAACTAGAAGATATCATTATAAAATTATCCATAATTTTACCAGTGTGCCACGAGAGAAAGGTCGGAAAGACGTCTTTATTAGGGCGACCAGATGTCCCCAATTTCCAGGGACTATCCCCAGTTTTGCCATTTTTAATATTTAATTGTAGAATCAATCTTTGAATAGAGCACGTCAATATAACATCACCAATTCACAGATCAATCAGTTTTAGACTCCATTTTCGTCAATTACGAACACGTCTCCGGCGGGATCGTAAACATTACGGTCAGCCTATCACTTTTTCCAAATTTTATATTACAAAATTTACTTCCAATAAAAATAAACACAAGACTACAGTACATCATTAGATTTATTTTATTGAAGTAAATTTTATAATATAAAAAACACAAAAATTGATAAAGATGTCTTTCCAAGTGATTTACGACCAAAGAAATAATCCATTCTACTTAATTAAGCGTAGATTTGTCGTTAACCTTAACACAACAACACGAAAATGGTCGATTACTGTTTACCAATTATTTGAAAGTTGGCTTAAGGCACATGTCAAACGTCAGGAAGTAAACGTTACATACGCGATAGGCAATATAACAGGCAATATTCTAATTAATAACCACGATTTTTAAGTCTTTTTTTTTTCTAAGTTATATAACTTAAGTGATTTTAATTAACGATAATTTTATCTTAAGTGACAGATCTACTTCACGTTTGATTTTAATAGCGTAATTCGTAAATACTTTAATATATTATCACACAATTACGTCGAGTAATGATAATTGTACCTTTCTCCCGCTTAATAACTCGATAATTAAGTAAAAAAATGATTAAATTATGACGTAAAATGAACTGTTTGTACCTTTGAACAGAAGACGAGACGATCTAGTGTTGTTAAAACACAAGAAAAAATATTTATCTCCTTTTCGCTTTCTCTTCCATCGTATATCGATAAGAAATTATCCTTATATAAACTTTATAAAATCACTTAAAAACTGTGTTTAATTAATAATAAATATCGTTTTAAATTACTATTTCGACATTAACACCATCCGCGAAAAAAAAAAATAATATAGTAATATACTCTCGACTCTCTCTACGTTCGGTTCCGTTTTGAAAATATATCGAAGCATCACGGATTATTATTTTAAATATGTCGATGTTTTCGGAAATAATACGAAGGTTTTCTGCTTTATTTATATTATATTAGGGATTTTTTTTGTGTTAGATGTATTAATAAATAAAAATTCAGGTTGTAAATTAGAGATGAATTTATATGCATATATTTTATTATATTCTTTATGCCATGGGGCATTAAGAGGTCTCCTTTCTAATGGGTTTAGGCAAGTCTATAATAGATGTGATCGAATAGTGAAGGGCGGGGTCCAACGTATCCAAGTTAAATTAAGCGTAAAAACTGATATACCGAGTAGTAAAAGCGTTAGTATGCCGCTGAGAACGGGTTTCGGGCTCAAATTTGGGTCGATTAAAATGTATGAGTTGACCCGGATACATCCAGTTCCTCACCCAGTGGTCACTTCAATTGTGGGCTTGGCATAATGTTATATTATGTTATATAAACCAAATCGTCTTTTATCTATCCTATGGAAGATATTTTCTCTATTTCGACTTTAAAAAAAAAAAAAAAACGCTCTCTCTCTCTCTCTCTATCTAAAAACGTTTAAGAATTACAGTAAAAATCAAGTAACTTTGAAAAATACAATAATTAACTATTTCTGTAACAAAAGATTATTTCTTTGACTCTAGTAGGTATTTGCATTTTTATGCATTTACAGAGCCATTTTATCGTGAAAATGTCGAACAAATTTTTTTATTGAAGTGTTTATATTTAACTTAGGCATTGGCCTTTCTCTTTTAACAATGTTTTCTTTTTCATTATATGATCTCGAGCCAAAACATTTTTAAAATACATTTTCAATATCGCAATAACATTCTGAATCGCTAGCACAATATAAGGGCTAAAATTAGAAATAAAATTATAAAAACTTACTTGGTGAAATAAAATGTGTGGTGGATATCCATACCTGGTACAAAATATTCTTCAATTGTACGAATATACTTTTAAAGAAAATTATAATTAAATATAGCTTTGTAAGCACATAAAAATAACATAAAATCTGCTTAACTTTTCGGCTCACCAGTGGTCGTGGTCTTCGTACCCTAAACACTGGGAGTTTCGGTCGTGGGTTCGCGTCTCGTTCGGACGGGCTGGCGGCCACGTGGAGTTTTCCGGGTTTTCTCCACATCTGTAACGCCTAAATAGGGGCCTGTTTCCCTTAAAAAGACATCCCGGAAGGCATCCCCCTAGGCAGATCGTCCAAGTGTTGCATTGCCATAACGCAAAACAAACATCTTTACTTTTTAAATCTTAACCACTCAGTCAAATAGCTCCCTACGAGTGGAATCAGAGACGTGCATGCACGCGGGCTGCCAAATCTCGAGGATGCCGATGCCGATACCTGTCAATGTCAAATGCCTCTTTTCTCGCATCACTAACATATCTCAAAGGACGCGACAGGGTTGTAAATTTTAAACGTTTCTCACCATAGCTGTAAAAATCTAAATATGTTAAACTTAATAGATTGTCCGTCGTTTGTTTTCTAACTAATTCGTTTTAGGACCAGGTGTGCACGGAAATGTACAACTTTTCGGTCACTCAAGTTGAACTGGAAAAATTTCTGTTTATATTACGTTACGGCGACCATCCGGACTCGCGAGATGGCGCCACTCCTCTAGGAATTTCCCGAGAATCCCGGACTGAAAAACGGGAACAAGAGTTTTTCCCGCAGGGGATTCTGGGTATTGTTGCTTCTTCTTGTCGGGTGATCGCTGCCACGAGCACGTGTAGCTCTCTCTCAAGTGTACTCATAAGATTGTTGTGAATAAACATTGTTTTAGTTTAAAAAGTGGTCGTGGACTTAACTAATTCACGTTTACCGCCTTCTGATAAATACAGTCTTGGTGGAGATCGAAATGGATGGAGAAAGACGGCCTGGTTTCGTCTAACCGACGGCGACCATCCATTACCTCCAACGTCTAATATTACGAAGAAATCAATCCCCGCTGTACTCGGTTAAGCTTTTAAGTAAAATTTCGGCTCTTTCATCAGTGTTTTGTTTACGTCCCCAATTCCCTAATCGCTTAATTATTTAACTATTTCTTAAGTAGAAATAAGTCGAAACCAGTTACTTTGTACTCAAATATTCCTAGTCTCGGGAAAAAAGTGGAAAGACAAATTTTTATGATAAACGGATACATAAATCGTAAATTTAAGGAAAATAAATTCTAGAGCTTTTTCTGTACCTCGTGCGTCTCTCTCATTGATTAAATATAGTTGTAAATGACGTTGTCAAAGTAACAGTTAATTTTTTTAACATTATACAAGAATTGTACACGGTTTTTTCTACATCCACTTAGAGATGGGACATACGAAATCGTAATATCACCGGTTTAACATTGAAATCCGTGAGTAATATAAATCGGAGAGCGGAATAAAAATATCAAATATTTTAAAGGATTTTTTAAAACTCCTGTCACTATACAGAACTATCGTAAAAACATACCAGTAAATTCTTATCGGTTGGGTTAAGTTATAAATCTACTCGTGATTCACGTAATCGGGCGAGGGCGGCCAAATATCTAGCAGGCGGCGGCTAACAGCCCAGAACCGGTCCTGGATAGAATTAGATGCGGTATACGTGTAGCATCCACCCAAGGTCTTAGGCTTCCACCAGCTAAACCGGATGAGGTTGGTGCTTTGTAAAGCGCGTGCGGGAATTTGGCTGTTTGGAAGCTGACAATACAGCGCTTCCACTCCGCCACTAATATTCGAATATACAATAGCGATCTTATCTTTTTTTTCACGTGTAGTATAGAAATTTGTAATAAGATACATAATGCGATTATAATAAAATATTGTGCGATTATTTTCATACAATTAAAATTAATAGACTATGTATTTATTTCTTAGAAAATACAAGAGAAGCGGCGCTTACACCGCTTCCAATGACGGCACGCCACTGTGACGTAATGTCAAGTCTACAAGAATAGCGGGCCTACCAGTGGCCAAGCGGTCTTCGTTCTCTGAACACTGGGAGTTCGCTCGGACGGGCTGGCCAAGTGGAGTTTTCTGGATTTTCTCCACGTCTATAACGCCTAAACAAGAGCCAGTTTCCCTTAAAAAGACTTCCCGAAAAGCATCCCCCAGGAAGATCACTCAAGTGTTGCGTTGCCATAACTAAAAAACAAACAAGTATAGCGAGGTTGAAGCCGACATTTTGATCTCTAAAACGTGAACGTCGGCCGCAACCTCACTAAAATCTGAAGGTCGATGTGGAACGAACTCAGCATCCGACAATAGCAGCTCGTTATTTCTTCGGCCCGGCAATCGATATACAGGAAAACCTCGGTTTTCGAACAGAATTTTTTTCTCATTGACTTAACATGGGGATAACCTTTCACTCCTATATCTCTCGTTCTAGGTCTAATTTTAAAATTCGGCCTCCGTCACATGCCATCTTATTACATAATTAAGTGCACTTATTATTTTCCATATTTATAATTTTTTTTAATTCTTTCCGCCCTGTGGGCACTAAGAAGGCCTCTTATAGCAAGCCTATTATGGGTTCGGCCGACATATCCCAGGACGGACCACCCTTCGAAAACCCATTATGAATCTATCCCGGGTCCCCCAGAGTAGTGGGCTGCCACCTTGACTACTCGGCCAACTTGTCTGTGCCTTGAAGAGGAAGGAGTAGAAAATATATGGTTTTTATTTTATCAAATATGAAGTTTCCTTATTTAAAAATTTCATCTTATGTTTGAGAAGAATTTTAATTAAATATGCTCAACGTATGTGAATGACGCACACAATAATTATCTGCGTCATACGCGTGACATAATGACTGATGTTGACAACACAAAGCGCCTTCTCTATTTCGAAATCGCCATTTTTATTAACAACGCAAGATGTTTTAATGCAAATGGGAGATAAAACTCGGACAGTTAATCTATCGATCGGTGTACAGTACATCGTATCGATAATAATTAGCCTAATTACAGTAATATAAAATGGTAGCATTCATTTTGGAAATCCCCATACAGTCGACCCCCTATAACACTGTTGATTATTCCGTTTTATATGAATTCCATGTTGTACGAGTCACTTAAATTTTACAAATACGTGAGCCGTTCACAGCCTGGCACAAGTATTTGTAAAATCTAAGTGACTCGTACAACATGGAATTCATATAAAATGGGATAATCAACAGTGTTATAGGGGGGTCGACTGTATTTTGTTTCTGTTTTTATCACGTGGGGAAGAGATTTATAGTGTAGGGCGTTAAGAATTTTTTGATTAAAATTCTTGTCAAGCGTAAGATGAAATTTATAAATAAGGAAACTTATTATTTAATAAAAATAAAAACAATATATTTTCTACTCTTTCCTCTTCAAGGCACAGAAAAAAGTCTTTGGTTTATGATTAATTATTGTTTATAGAGCATAAATACTAATAATAATGAAGAGTTAATTTACACCACAATATTAAAGCTCTGACGATAACATCAAAATTTTTATTCACCATGCAAAACTTATGGAATTATTATTATGTGCCATTTTTGGTAGCCCTTTCATTGATAATACTTAATGTTTTAAAAGATTACTTTTTGAGACCGAAAAATTTTCCTTCTGGTCCTTCGGGTCTGCCCTTTGTAGGCTATTTGCCTTTTCTTGGTGAAGAAGCATATTTGAAACTTCATAAACTTCGTTTGAAATATGGAGGGATTTTCAGGTATGGCTTGACTTATCTTCAGTTATTTTCTTTTTTTTATTACAATCAGCAATTCGTATATACACACATATATATAATTTATCGTGTAATATTGTTAGTGTTCTTCTCGGAAGCAAGAGAGTAGTAGTATTATCAAGTTATGATGTGATGAAAGAAGCATATAGTAAATCAGCCTTACTTGGTCTCCCTCCAATCACTAATTTTGATTTCTTGTTTAAACTTAAAGGTGAGATGGTCCTTATATAACGTGTCATTAAAGGTTTGTAACAATTATAAATTTCATATTTTTACAGGTATAGCAAAGTCCAGCGGAGAAGAATGGGTGGAAAATCGCCGATTTGTCGTTAATAATTTGAGAATTTTTAATGAAAGATATGATTTAGCAATTGAAGTGATTCCTTTCATATTTAATTCCATAGAAAAATTCATAATCGATATTTTTTATATTTTTCATATAATCACAATAATTTTTGTACAGGAAGAAATACCACTGCTGTTAGAAGAATTGGCTCGGAATGAAGAGTGTCCATTGAACATCCAACGACTTTTATTATCCAGCGCAAGCAATGTTATCCTCAATTTTGCATCGGGTATAAGATTCGATTATCATCATCCTACAAGAAAAATTTTCAACGAGTTTATCGAAATGAGTGCAAAATATCTGGGCGTGATTTCTTACAGTGTATTTGTCCCTTGGATTAAATTTTTGCATCTGGTTTCTTTTGTAATGGATCGCTCTATCATGCAGAAGACTATAAACGCTTATGAAAAACTAATGTAAGCATTATAAAATATGATTAATTTTTTAATAAACGATATTTACTTGTTTTTTTTTTCTTATAGTGACATATTTGAAAGTGTTTTTAAAGAATATAATAGTAAAAATATTAAGAATATTTCAGAAGCTTATATCTGTGAAATAGAGAAAAGTAAAAATAATCCTGAATCACCTTATACTGGTAAGTTTAGATAATTCGATTTTATTGCATAAGTATTACAACTTGAATAAATTTAGTTCTAGGTTACGTCGGTAATATTACCACAATATTAGCAGCTAGTTTTGATACTACAACCGCGTCATTATCATGGACAATATTGGCATTAGCGACGTACCTGAAAATTCAGAGGAAAGTTCAGAAAGAAATAGATGCAATTTTTGGTACTGAATACCCAGTTTGGAAGGATAGAGCACGTTTACCTTATACTCAAGCAGTTATCATGGAAATACAAAGATGGAGGACAATCGTGCCTCTTTCTGGTTTAAGATAGTATGTATACATGAATTTATAAAATCTATTAAATCTTCATACATAATAAGATAATTCTATTAAAGCGCATTGTCAGATTGCAAAATTCGAGAATATATAATACCAAAAGGAACAATTGTAGTCCTAAATATATGGAGCATTCACAACGATCCATCATATTGGGAAAATCCTGAAGAATTTCTACCAGAGAGATTTCTGACAGAGGATGGTTTAAGCATCAAGAAATTGAAATCTTTCTCGCCATTTTCGTATGGTACGTTTAATAGTTATTTTACTGTTATTAGAATAAAAGTACAAAAAAATATATTAAAGGGTTATTTATGATATTGATACTTCATAAAGGTAAACGTTCGTGCCCGGCGGAAGGAATTGCTTATAAAGAAATTTTCTTATTTTTGACATCAATCCTTCAGAAGTTCGAAGTTGCTTGGCCAAAATCTACACCTCCGGATTTAGGAGTAAAAGGAGGAGGAATCGTTTTAATGCCTAAACCTTATCAGTTAATTTTTATACCTCGGAAATAAATGATTTATTAAATCTCCAAAAGATAAAAATTAATCATTTAAAAGTCTAGTAATTATTTATGTAATATTAGCAGATACTTTTGTCAGTGTAGGCCTGGTGTAAGAACGAAACATTAAAATGAAAACCGTATTGTTTTGTTATTTTTTCCTACCACTGTCATATATATTAGAAGTGTTAAATTATAATAAGAAAATGTAACAAAACAGAAGGAAATCCTCTTTGAAGGGAGGAAAAAAAAACACTAAATCGATCTTAATTAAATTCATATCAAAAATCCAGCAACAAATTGCTTAACTTTTCCGGCACTGGTTTCTCAGTTAACAATAGCAAAATCGATATACTGGTCTCTCTGAGCTATGTTAGAGTAGAGTTAATGTGTCAGGTTGCCGATAGCTGGCGCTCATATCGCTTTGCGGCGAGAAGTAGGTTTATCCATTTGATTAGTACATACCGTGTTTCCCCGAAAATAAGACAGTGTCTTATATTAATTTTTGCTCTGAAAAGTGCGCTAGGCCTTATTTTCAGGGGAGGTCTTATTTTTTCCAGGAGGAAGAATTCACATTTATTATTGAACAAAAAAATTTCCAAGTCGAACTTAGACGAGAGTGACGTATATCCGGTGTGTCGAACTGTCGCCTTTTTATAGCGTCAACATCGGACTCGATGACCAATTAGTGCTTACTGAACCGTAGCACTATGCAAATGTCATGTGGCGTGATTCCCGGCCGACCAATTAGCCATCACCAGCCGTAACGTTATGCAAATCTGTGATTCCCAAGCCATAGTCTTATGCAAATCATGCCGTGTGGCGTAATTGTCTGCTGACCAATCAGTGGCTGTACTTTCAAAAAGCCAACGGCCACTTTCAACCATCTGTCGATGACCGTTACGACTAAAAATAAACTTCGCTAGGTCTTACTTTCAGAGGGAGGTCTTATATTTCGCAATTCAGCAAAATCTGTGCTAGGTCTTATTTTCTGCGGATGTCTTATTTTCGGGGAAACACGGTAGTTTTACCGTTTTCAAGCATTTTTTAAAACTTTTTTCTGCGAGAAAAAGAAATAAGACAATGCCGAATAAGTGTTTTTGATGGTACTACAAATCTAATGAGAAGTGGCATATTTTTATACCACTTTGAAACCGTATCCATCGACCCTGGTTTTATCCATTTGATTGGTACAATTTTGATATTTTCAAGTAGTTTTTTTTTCTACTGTTCTGTCAAAAAGTCTTATTCGTACTTACATTTTTAAAATTTTATATCATGTATAAAGAAAGAAAAAGTATAGTTGGTTTATAGAAAAATTTATCTGTATTCAGTGAACGGTTCAACATTAGAAATCATATTTCAGGCTACACATACCAATGCTATTTAAAATTATGAAATTATTATTATTAATCTAATTACAGAGAAATTTTAAAATAGCATTAATAATACTTAAAAAATTTTGTAATTAGAAAACTAGTAGTTTGTGAAATATTTTAACTAAAATTTCTATGTATTACATAAGGAGATTTTATCATTAATTTGCATACTTAATAAATTAAAAATCTATTCTCTTTTGTTAAAAATGTGTTTTTATTTTTAATCTCTCTCTTTATTTCATAATGGAGTGATGATTTAAGACCTAGACTATCACACATCAATCTATTCAGTATTGTATGAAGGATACAGTACTGAATACAGTGGATGTGTCCATACTCAAAGGTTTTTTTTTTAGTAATAGAATATATTATTTCTTTACCAATTGGAAACTGTGTCGCTATACTTTTTGCTGTTTAAACACTATGAAGTGTAATTAATTAACCACTAGGCATTCTTTCATCTTTTTATTTTTTTTATTTAGTTGATATGCATTGTTTACATGTTTCGGGCTCTATGTTGCCCCTCTTCAATCAATTTTTAAAAATATACACAATTATTACACGACATTAAACTGACAAAATCAATACAAATAATTTACAAACATACCTTCAAATATCTATCTTTAAAAGCTTGGGACATGGGAACAAACTATAATTCATGTTTGTCATTTTATAGAGTAGGTGTATATCCCAGTACAGATTATTATTCCTAGCTGTTTGTTTGAAAAAAATTTTTTTTACCAAAATTACTATACTATATATGCAAATCAGTGTTTCAAATATGATGTACAGTACCTGTTGTAGTACTTTCAGGACAATTTGGTTGATGTTCGTTCATATCCTTTCAAAGGAGATACATACATGGGAACAAGTCTCATTTTTCCTTTCAGTTCTATCATTTTCAGAAAACTCCCAATAAATTAAAACATAATAAGCATGGTAGACTTTAGATAATGTATCTCTTTTGCGCTGTTAAAATTGTTAAAAACCTTCAAATTGATAAACGGATATGTCTTTACATATGGTCTTTTATATTGTCTTGTCACTTGCATTGCATGGTCTCATGCTAATTTACACATTCAACTAAATAAAAAAATAAAAGCTTGAAAGAATGACTAGTGGTCAATTAATTACACTTCATAGTGTTTAAACAACAAAAAAATACCGTATTCTTTCTTATTAAAATGCTTATGCAAACTTTTAAGTTAGAAAAATAAGCTTCATTATTTAAAAATAAAAATTTTAATGCAATTATATTATTTTTTCAAATACATTATTATTAAAATAATATACAATATAATGCAAAGTGATTTTTGAGATTTAATAAAAGTATTTACACAAAAGTATAAGAAACCTATAGCATCAGTGGAAAATATTTATAATAATACAATAAATTCATTTAAAAACATATCACTAAGTATTATTATATTTGGATCAGAGGAATGCAATAACATATTTGGCAAAGAAATTCTCTTGGTTATCTGCTTTCAATCACTTGTTAGTGACTGAAAGCATAAATACAAATTGTCTTTAAAATAAACAGTGACCATATGAAAAAATAATGTAAACAAAATTTTAATGGATTCTGTATCAGCAAATAAACAGAAATTTGAGTCTTTGCAAGAGTGATGCATAACAGTTATTGAAATGTAAATAAATCATTTTAAATGAATGTATAGGAACAGAAATTATAGTAAAATATGAAACAAACTGACTATACTATTTGTTATGTATAACATCTATAAAATTCTCTTTTAAAAACATCTTAAAATGAAAAGAAAATGTTATAAATAATAAACAATTATTATGTTGCAACTTAACTTATAGATTAATAATTAGTTATTAATAAATCTTTCCAAAATTTATTAAAAATGCATTTATTATAATTTGAATATCAAAAATCAAACATTAGTTATTGCATATTTATCTGAAGAATATATTAATGTTACGAAATTTGGTCTTATTTTCTGCGGATGTCTTATTTTCGGGGAAACACGGTATATAACGCTTTACACCGATTTATCTCTATCTTCTCTCACTCTTTAGGAAAATTTAGTAGTATCAATGCCTTTCATGTACAAGCCCANATATATATTTTTTATTTACATTTGATTACAATAATCAAGAAAAATTGAAACGACAACAAATCAAACATCTGGCAATATGGCATTCATATTCTTTATGATAAAAATCTTATGAAAACTAAGCAGAAAAATACAAAGTTCCATTTTTAGTTTACATTATCTATATACATTCAAATTCTTAATTGGTCCATGTCATGTTCATTATTTACTTTCATCAATTCCTATACATTCTCTAACAGAAATAATGAATATGCTATTCAGTGCATTAATTTTTTGCTTGTTATTTTTGAAATTTATAAAATATACTTTCAAAATTAATTTATAAATTAAGCAAGTTCATACATTTTTAAATATATCTATGTGTATATATATAGTTCAGAATGAATAATCTACACACTATAAAATAATAATCATAAAATACAAAATTTTGATATATATATATATATGTATTGTATATAACTCATTAATTGAATAAAAACAATTTGCTGGAATTAGTAAAAATTTCATAATTCAACTAAACTATTAAATGCCATAATAATATGTTAATTATTGTAAAATACAAGTTTTTTTTTACTAGAATATAAAGCTCAAATTTGGTTCTTGATTTATATACTATAATTATTGCTTTTCTGATTAAATAATTAAATATTTTTATACAGCATTACTTCTCAAATACAGTTTCTGACAGAAAAACAGTGTTCTAATTTCACATTTCATAGAAATTCATGAGGAATGAAAACAATTACCATTTTATAGAGATACTTTAAAATATCAATTTTAAAATAATTTGTAGAATATTTATATATAATTTGTTCAACACATTTTGATATCACCAATATTTTGTGTGAAACAAATTATAAATGTTAAAAATTTTCCAGGCTATCAATTTTGCATTTTTTTTTTTATAAATACTCATATATAATCAACCAGTGAAATTACTAAAATCAGTTTTCAGTTTTATTGAAGGTGAAGTTGAAGTAATACGAGGTGGAGTTTGAACATTTTCTTCTACTGTAGTGGTTCCCAGTCGACTTGCTCTTATGCTGGCTTCTAATCTTGTTTTAAGATGAGCATTTTTGCTGATAATAAGACGGAACTCTTGCGGATATTGAGGTCCCACTTTTAAAAGTTGCTGTAAAGAATAATCGTGTAACATCCGATGAGATGGATATTGTTGATTTTGATTATCTGGTTCCATCAAAACAGTTATTAATATTGGTACATAAAGTTCTAACATGTGGATTTTTTTATCTGTTGGGGCAACTGATACTAATGTTTCTAAAGTTTGTAGAGATTCCAAGATTATTGATACTTTTATATCTGTAAGAGGTTGTCTTGTAACAATTTGAGATGCATTCTGGCCTAATAGTTCAACAATCCGTGGTGCTAAGGCATGGATATACGGTTTACCATTAGGGTGCTGAAAAATGGACTTCAATGTCTGTAAGCATTTTAATTGAATATTTTCCCCATTTTGTTGTAAAGCTTGTTTGAAAAGATTTATACAAGGGTACTGTAGATTTGGGACAGAAATCACTTCTGATGGTGCACTAAGAATAAATACTGCCACAGCTAACAATATAGAAACTTGATCTGGTTGTTTATTTGGCACACTTGTTTTTCCAAAATCGAGAATACAGGATAGTGTGCTCTGAAGAAGAGAAATCCATTCATCCTTGCAAATTGAATTTTTTGTGAAAGGTGAGGAAGCAAGTGTTTTTAGACACTGGATAGTAGAGGTAATAATGATATTAGTTGATGAAGTTTGTTGAACACTTGAAACAGCAGTTTCTTTTAAAACACCAGTAATCAAATATAAAACCACAGAAAGAACTGATATACTTCCTAGTGGAGAACATAAGCCCGGTAACTGTACAAGAACATCAAGTGAAGCAGATATAAGCTGTTGAGCTTCTTCAACAAAAGGACAGTGTGTGACATTAGTAGTAGTGGTAGCTAATGAAGGGCTAAGTTGTGGAAGATGACGAACAAGAAGACACAAACAATCTTCTAACAAAGCAAAAACTACTGATTTCTCTGGTATAATGATACCATTTTCTCCACCTTCTCCAAGTGAAGCCAATTCTTTATCTACATCTTTAGGTTCTTGATTTGCAGGTGCAAGTTCACGGAGATACTTTTTTTTCTCAGCTTCATAACTTTCGTGATGAGCAACAACAATCAATCGTGCTAGATCCATTACAAGTAATTGACACTCAGGACTTTCTCTAGTTAATAATAATCTATGTAATACATTGCATAATTCAATTGATAACTGTTTGTCCTCTCCAATTATTGTGCGTGGTGTGCTGTTATTTAAAAGCAATTGAAGTGACTGTAAACAAATTAATATACATTCAAGAGGTGCAGTGGAATGTGGACTACATAAAGCTTCCATGCAAATACCTAAGAGAAGATGAAAATTATCAGATGTTATACTATCAGAAAATTTTTCTTCTTCATTTTTATCTTGTAGAGAATTTTCATTAGTTGATTTTGTTTCATCAATAAATCCACCATGACAAAGCCAGAGAACTGCTGCATGTAAAATTGGTGGCCATGCTTCTTTGTAATAACGACGAACAGATTCCATTGTATCTGAGGTATAAAATGCACCTCCATCATGAGGCAACTGACTACAAAATTCTGGAGGAAGAGAAAGCAAACCATGATCTTTAAGTGCTGCTAACCAATATTTGCTAAGAGAAAGAAGTTCAGGAGATACAAGACGAAGTAAACTTTCTTGATTATGAGCATCTACATCTGCATTCTGATTTAGGTGTTTTTGCTTTTCTTGATTCATTGCTACTACATATACTTCTGCCCAAGCTTTTAATATTGCTAACTTTTCCAATGTGGAGGCACTTTCATTATAAATTTGTGAACCATTTCCCTTATTTAATTTTGTCAATGAAGAAACCATTAGCTGATGAACTCTTCTCAAGTCATTTAAATCTCGTGCAACACCACTTCCAATCCAAGCACTGCAAACCTGGCATGCAACAGCTGTGATATGTGAAGGAGTTTCTGAAGAAAATGCAGGACGAAGAGCTGCACCTACTTGTGCTTGATATTGCTCCAAAATAACATGTCCAGGAAATTCTGGTTCAGGAACTTTAGAAAATTTGTCAATGATTAATTCTAATACTTTCAATCCTTCTAATCTTAATGGATCACTTTCAGATGTTGCAGCCATAAATGCCATCCTAACAAGATCTGATAAATGGAGGACAAGAAAATCTTCGCTAGGCTTTTGTGCTTTTCTTTCTCTTGCAGCTGCAAGATCAAAGTGTGCATTGTTACCTTCACATCCAATAATAATTCTTTGTAAAGATTCTGCTGCAAAAACTCTTGTAGGCCATCTTGGAGTTACTCCTGGTCGATTATTTTCTTCAGCCGTCTTAAAACTTTCTTCATCATCGATATCTAATTCACTTTCTGGCACATCTACTTCTAATTCTTTATGATCAGGTGAAGTTGAAACAGAACTGGATTCTGCAGCAGTTAAAACATCTTTACATAAACTTAACCAATGACCTAAACTATCTTCAGCCATTGCCTGCAATATACTAGTTAGTGTATCATGAATATCTTTAACTAGTTGGAAATCTGTTTCAGTATCTAACATGGCAAATAAAATTCCATCTAGACCACTTTCTGCAAAAGGAAGACTGTTATCTTTTGGGCCTACTTCTTTTGCCCATAGAAGAGTATGATCACAAATTTCACGTGCTTCCCGTTGAGCCAACTGACGTAAACAAGCTACAGCTGCACGTCTTAATAATAGATGTGAACTATTTAAAGCAGCACATAATTTTGGTACTAAAGTTGAAAGATTAACATGACGAGGTGCAAACATGTGAAGCTGCTGCAAACAAGATATTGCTTCTGCTTGAACTAATGGATCACCATGATCTTGCATGATAGCACATGCAATTAAAAATGAAGAACGAGTTGTACAGATAGAAGTAGTATTTCCTTGAAGTTCTGGACCAACTGTTGTTATTAATGCAGATAAACATTTTCCAATACATTGATGAACATCAATATGGGTAGGTGTCATATTTAATAATAATTTTAAAAACAATGATAATGTCGGTTCAACATATGCACGAAACATAGGTCCACCAGAATCTGCAATCATAGCAAGTGCATGAAGAGCCCAAACTTGTACAATTGGTGCATTTGTATCCTGAGCAAGAGCTAACAAAATACTAACACTTGTATTTAAATGTTGGCCTGATCCCATATTACCAACATAACGATGCATACAACCCAAGGCAAGTGAATGTCCAGTACGAGACGCAGCATCTCTTGCTGATTTTAATTTATCAAAACTGTGTTGAGCCATTTCTGCAACAAATCGACTATCTCCTACACTCTGAACAACTCTACCAAGAGCTTCTCCGGCTGCACATCTTAAGATAGCATTTACATGATTTAAACAACTCAGAATTAAATTTACTGCAGCTCTTTTTACTTCATCTGGACCAAGTCTGGCTTTTGCTTCAACTAATGCTCTAAGTGCATTGAGAACAGCTGTAAAAATATTAATTTGAACAGCTTCCTGACGTGTGGCTTTAGTATGTCGTACACATTCTGAAAAATGTTCCAGCATTTGTAATCTATGCTTGAATGCAACATGAGGAAATATAACACCATATAATATAACTGACATATCTATTACAGCTACACCTAATGGCAATGGCCCAGGAACAATTTTTCCCAATTTTAGAGATTTGTATAATGCAGTTGAATCATGTTCTAGTGCTCCTGATCCTGATGCACTATTGGGCTGCAACTGATCTTCAATGACTTTATGATCAGTTTCCTGTAACCAAAATCCTAAAATAATACTGTCATTAGAATGACACAGACCACGCAATAATGACGTAGTAGTATTTGCAGGATTTTCCGTTAAAGTAAATTCTGCTACCAACAATCTTAACAAATTATTATAACTACTCTCGTATGATTTAGGTGGCAGTAGTGTTAATACTTCATATAAACGCATTCGAACCATTGCAGCACTTGCTTTTAAATGTTGTCCATAAGATTTAAAAATATGGCCCAGACTAGTTAACATTATAAGAGCTGATTCAACTGGTGTAAGTAATCTTCGAATAACTTCATCTGTTACCAATTCTTTACAATGCAATAAAAAACTAGCCATAGCTGAAAGTGCTCCTGCTCGTCCTTCTAGCGTAAGTTGCCAAGTAAAAGCATCACCTCTTACTTTTTCAGATTCTAATTCTTTTGCAGATCGAGGGAATGAATTCTTCCAAATTAATAAAAGTCTTGGCAACAATCCTCTTACTACTGAAGGACCAAGAGTTAGAACAGCACCAATAAGCAGCCAGCCTGCTTGTGTTCTTTGTAATGAAAGACGACTATTTTGTGAAGCACTTCTCAAAAGATCTTCAGCAACATTAAATACCATCTTGCCTCTATTATGTGGAATTCCAAGGGGAGTATGTCGAGCTGCACCAAGCAAACTTGCTATAGCTGCTGTGTATCCAGAAATTGCTTCTGGTGAAGTTTTTAAAGTGTCAGATCTGTCCATACATCGATCCAATAAAGGCATTAATTTAGATGGAACAGCAATACTAAGACAGCGTAAACACCAAGCAGCTGCTAAACGTACAGCTAGGCTAGAATGAACTAAAACAGAAACAACAGTTTCTTCAATACCTGCAGATGGATCAGCTATTACTTGACTAGCCATTGTATTAAGTGTCTGAAGAAGTGAACCAAGTTCTTGTAATGCACATACAATAACATGCTGACTTAAAGCAGTTTCTCCTTGATTATCTTTATTCCCAGTTAGATCTGCAATACTATCTTCTTTACTATGTTTTATAATTATTTGTATCAACTCTTTGCAAGCTGCAATCTGAGCTTTCTCCCCAAGCAATTTTCCCAGGACTGAATGTAAAATAAAAGTAACACATTTGCGACTATATACTGCATCAACATGAGTAGTTGCAGCTCTTGGGCTAGAAACAAGTTCTAATAAATGTGTTAAGACAACATTAAGATTATTCTCAAGCCAATTGCTGCCAAGTTGTTGCAATAAAACAACATAGGCATGAGTGACACCAACACGTATATCTCGACTAACAGTAGAATTTCCTTTAATCATTTCTCCTGCTCCACTCTTAAGAAATCCAATACCACCACGAAGAAATCCAGCAGACATTAATGCTAGAACCTCATCTAATGAAGCCAATCTGTTTTTTCCAACTGCAGCTTGGGATGCTTGCTGTGTTATAGCAATCAATGAACCCAATAATTTTGCAACAGCACAACGTACTTCATAATTTGAACTTTCAAATGAACGGAAGCACAAAGAAGCCACTGTTTCAAGATCAGTGGTATATAAAAAGGGCGAATGTTTTAGCATTTCTTGTAAACATTTTGCTCCAGCACATCTAACAGCCATAACTCTATCTGTTAGGCAATGTCGTACTGCTTTGAAAATGTCTTTATGAAGATGGCTAGCTGCTGCTCCCATGCCTCCAACAATTTTTTCAGTAGTTAACATAATTTCACAACGAGCTTGTGATTCTGCATTTTTTAAAGATTTCAAAAGTATGCTTATAGTTTCATCATATGATCTTCCCATCATACGTCCTAATTGTTCATACATTGCTCCTATACATGTAACGGCAGTAAGTTTTATTTGTAGAAAGCTTGGTGAATCATCTCGATTTTTCAAAATATCTGTGAATTTATTTACAGTATCAAACAATAAAGAAGTATCTCCAATACTAAAGAGTGTTGCTAGACATCGCCCAATTAATTTTCTTGCTGGTGGACCAGGTGATTGATAAACTTGTTTTATGAGTTGTTCAACAAGTGTTTTTTGACATCCTTTAATATCAGATTTCTGTGATGCTGCTAATATTTTATCTAAAAACCTTAGCCATTCAAGCACAAACAATGGTCTTTTAGCTTCATTTATCTGTGCTAAAGCTTCCTCATTCAAAGTCAAACTATGAGAAAGTTCCATCATCTTGAACTAAATAATCGTTTGGCACTAACAAATTTAGAATGTGAAAAACTGAAAATTGCAGAATTCACTTGAAAAAGTTCAGTCTATTTATACAATCTGAAAATAAAAAATATAATGATAATTAGAACAATGAAGTTGATTCTTAAAAATTTCACAGTTAATTCATAAAGTGATAAATTTTTATAGATTTATCTCAAAAAGTCTGATCACCATCAATCTAATTAATAGGTTATTATATCATTGACAGCATTGTAAAATTGTACTTAACTATTACTAATTCTAAAAATAAGTCAAATATGTATGTATAATATGCCAAAGAGTTTTAAATTTTGATTTACTTTATATGAATGACAGAAAATTCAATTTTAAGTATGATAAGATATGATCACAGATAACAACAAATAGCCAATAGAATCTGCTAAGAAAAATTTATAATAAACAATAAAGTACAGGTATACCTCGCCTTACGTCGGTAATTGGTTCCAGGAAAACGACTTAAGTCGAAAAACGACGTAAGTCGAATTTACTTGTCTCCGAATCTACTTGTCACTAGGCTAAACCATAAATTACTATTCCCAGTTCTGTATTTTATTCATTAATGCATTTTTAATAATATATGGTTAATAAGAATCTATTTTAAGCTTACAAACAAATAAATTTCAGTTTTTAATGTAGTACAGAAAAAAGTAATCTAAATTTACGAATGCATGTACTGTTCTGTAAATACAGTACATACTTGTAAATGTATATATTTTAATATGATTTTATGTGCTTTAAACGCTTTTCTAGTGATATTACGACTTCAATATTTGTGGCGGACGGACGTAAAGTCGAATAAAATGACTTAAACTTGATTTTTATTTTTCCGTATACTTTTTTGACAAATGACGTATAATCGGGAACAACGTAACTCGAAACGACGTAAGTCGAGGTATACCTGTACTGATAAAATAAGGGAAAACTTAACTTTTTTATTAGAACTTTATTGTTGTTTGCAATTAGTTTCACAACATAAAACTTTCAATTTTATCACTAAATTGAATATTTTGTATTTTTTGAAATGAAATTTTTTTTAATATTTAACAAAATTATTAATTTAAGACATCATCGACATGGCAAATTCTAATGACAACTTCCTCCAGAAAAATGTCATTGGTGATAAAGCAATGTTATTAGTACAAACCATGCACAAAAAGAACAAAGTGCTGTGTAGATTGGCCCAAGAAAATTTATTTACTTGTAAAAACAAATTATGACTTGTTTGCTTCTTATTACTTTAGTTTTTAGAGTTATGTGAGATTTCTTATTTTTTAAATTAATATAAATGTTACATGTTCCAAAACAATTTTATAGATAAATGTTTACTAACTTATATTATTTAAAATAACAATAATCTTTTTTACTATCTGTGATTATCAGAAGTATCTGTATATTGTTGAAACATAAATATATGTAGTGTAATCCAAAATTCACAGACTTGGCATAGAGTTTCTTGCTTTGAATAATTTAAAACACATTCATGAGGGATAGTGCACATCCTTCCTCAAATTAATAATACACTTTTTCCAATGCTTGTACAGCTTCTGGAAGCATTGCTGTAAGCCATCTTTTGCAATCACCAAAATGCTTCTGCAATGCTGCTTTTACCTCATTTGATGACTAAAAACTATGTCAAAATGATCTCAGGATATTTATGATGGATAGACTCATCCAAATTCCAGATTTCATGTTCAGATATGTGGCCTGGATGAGTCCATCTGTCATAAATTGCCTGAGATCATTTTGACATAATTTTTAGTCATCAAATGAGGTAAAAGCAGCATTGTAGAAGCATTATGGTAATTCCAAAAGCTGGCTTATAACAATGCTTCCAGAAGCTGTACAAGTACTGGAAAAAGTGCATCATCATACAAGGAGATTAGTTTGAAGATGGGTGTGTCATTGTTTTAAACTATTCAAGGCAAGGAACTATATGTCAAGTCCTCAAACTTTTGGATTGTACAGTGAATAAGTTAATTAACATTAATAAATATAACAATTTTACATACTTTTGTTTTATCAATTAAAACATCTGCAAAATTACAAAATTCTTAAATATTTGAATGAGCAAGTTATTGTAATGTTTTTAAATATAGTAATTAAAAACAAAAATGCTTTTAATTTGAGCATTTATATTTTATTGATGTTAATTAATTTTATATTGTTGTATTGAGCAAATTTTTAAACATCAATTTATTATTATAGTAAACAAAATATACCATGTTTTTTTTTTCCTTTCTTTTTCTTCACTATGTTTCACTGCTGACACAAAACAATTCTCTTAAACTTTCATCCAAAAATGCAATAAAATAAATATTTGTAGTGAATCTGTCTATCTTCATTCCTCATCATCATCTTCATCAACCTATTTTAACTAAAAAATGTGTTATATTTAGTCATCACTTTCTATAAATTAACAAATCTTAAAAAAACTCGCATTACAGTTTGATGCACTTTATTCAAAATTAATATATTATATTTCATGTAATCGTTGCAAAATGACTAATTTACATTAACATCAATGTAATTTTATATCCTTAATTATGTTAAATTTTAAAATAAATAAATTTAAATTTTTAAAATTAAATTCAACTAGTGTGAAATTATTTTAATTTTAGAGTATTTGTGTGTTCCTGAATTATTTTACTATAAAAAGAATTGAAACAAAAATAGTTAAAATAAAACTTTCAATAATCATCAATTAATATATACCAGAAAATATAATAAGAATATCAATAATACTCAACATAAAATTTTCAAAACATTTATAAATGTCTGATTTGATTTAGGGGCAAAATCCTAAAATATTCTCAAAACTATTCTTTAATATTTTTAATAAAATATCCCAGAAGTTATTAGGCATCTTCAGGAATTGGTAAATTGCATGAGTATTTATAAATTTTCTTAAACAGATTTTCTCTAATCACACTTCATTTCTTTAAAAATAATTGTTCTAAGTCTAAAACTTCACTGTACATACATTATTTGAAATATGCCTACTACATGGCAAGTGGACTCAAAAAGATTCACCATCCTTGATCTAGGAGTCTACAGTCTAAGGCAGATGTTTCCAACTTTTTTCTGAGAAAGGCCATGTGAGCTATAAAAGACAAGTCTGCAGGCAAGATACAGAAAATATAGTCAAAGATTAATAGTTTTTTTTTTTTTTAAATTTCTAAATAACAACAAACATAAATTAATGTGAAATTTCCAAGTACTTTTTTAAAAGAATGTCACCAAAACTAGGGATAAATTTTGTAACATCCAATATTAAAATCTCCTTTAGATATTCACTGGACAGCAATTTCAATATTTTCATTTTACACATGTCCAAACCTTAAAGACAAATATAATTGCTAGTGGCAATAGCTAAAAAGAAGTCACTGAGCCAGTTGACAACAAGCCCGCCACAACATTACGAGTGCTGCTTCTTTGCAGTTTGAATAACTAAACCTTACAAACCTTTAAAATGCAATCTATTTTATTATATTATCTAATGTTTTCGGTCAATTAATTGACCTTCATCAAGAATGAATTATGATATCAGGAAGGGGGGGAAAAGGCACAAACAGTTAAAAAATAGGCATTAGTCGGTGCCCATTATGTCATCATCTGTTTATCTATTTATTTATTTATACAATTATTATTATTAATTTTTATTTATATGTATGTATAGTTAATATATGCATATATTTGTATGCTATCAGTCTGTGGATTTTATTTATCTATTTATGGACTTGTGCAATAGACATTAAGAAAATTTTAAAGTTAAAAACGTTCCATAATTGGTTTCATTCATTATAAATTGAAAACTTGTTTGATTCATTCCTGACGAAAGTCAATTAATTTAATTGACCAAAAACATTAGAAAATATAATAAAATACACTGCATTTTAAGGGTTTGTAAAGTTTAGTTACTTATTTGTAAGTGCAGTTAGAGAAGATTTGCAGTTTTACATATTTAATATTGACAGGTCTTTCTGCCTCGGAATTGATAAGCACTAAACATCCTTCTCCACCTATGTCCAGCTGCTGTATCTTTCTCAGTAAAGACTTACTTTTATTACTTTGATTTATAAAATCCATCCTACAAGTTGTTTGTATTATTGTGTTAGATGTCAAGTAATAGTTCTTGCCATGTTTGTTTGCATTCTTCTACAGTTCTCTCTATTCATGTATAAATGTTACACATCCTTAAGTTTGGACATGTATATATAGGCCTGTTTCAGTTTGGAAATGTTTGTTTGCAAAGGTATATAAAAGCAAAAATAGAAAGTATCCCTCATGGAAGACTAGAGTTGGTATACTGATGGAATATGTAAAATTTATGGAGCATTAAGACCACTTCCATCAAGCCCCATTTCAGTGTGCTCTTAACTGCTAACTATGTATAGGAGTTCTAAGTTTGAATATCATTACATGTTTTACAATCTTTTACAGTTTATATTTTTTCACTGTTGCTGTTTTTTATGTAACTATTCATAATTACTACTATTATTATTCTTTTCACTTTATTTCATGATTTATAAACAAATGATTTAATTAATACATATTTATGTACTATTTTTACTCACTTTATCTCTGTTTACATTATCATTCATTTTACAAAAATTATTGGTATTAATGCCTATTGTAATTGTATATTTTAAATCTGCCATTATGGTACTCTTCATAAATTTGCAGATTAATATTGTAACTTATATAAAATAAACCAACCAAGAAAAAATAGGCAAGCTCGATTTTTTTTCTTTATGTTAAAATCCTGTTTTTCTCTTATTAGTCTAAATTACATTTAAACTCGGGTCCACAAGCCACCATTTCATTTTTATTAAGTCATACTTATTAAAGGCAATATCTCACCTAACAGATGTTCGTAATAAAAGAGGTTCAATGCTAAAGATCCAAGGAAGAATTTTTGACACTCATTCAATTCCATATATATATATATGTAAATTATATACACTAGCTGTTACTTGTAGCCTTGCCCGTATGGATTTTGCAATTTGATAGAAATAACCCTCTCTTGGTACTTCACTAAGATTCTCAATCATTAGTTGTTACTAATTTGGTAAAATTACGGATTTTTGTTTATTTCAAACTATGGACTGCTAATTCACCTAAATTCAAGTTTCAAATATTATGGGATTCCAAGATACGATAAATCTGAGTTCAATTTTTTTTTTTTTGAAACATAAATGACATTATCTGAAAATTCCTAAAGTATAAATATTACTGAAAATTAGAGTTTCAGTTACCCCAGCACCTCTTTGTAAATCACATCTGTGGTACTGCATTTCGGGATTAAAACTTTTTGAGCCTTAATCCTCTCCTTCTTCCCTGCGGGGAATTTCCAAAAATCCCTTCTTAGTGTGCACTCTTATTGCGTACCTTAACTGTATACCAAATTTCACCTCTAGGTTCAGTGGTTTGCTCTGGGCAATGATGAATCAATCAGTCAGTCAGGACATGTAATTTTATATATATAGATATATATCTTCCATTTTATTTATTATTATTCTTTACATAATGTTTTTCTATGTAGTCAATAAAAACCATATTAAAAATTAACTTTAAAACTTTAACTGTTTTAAAATGCAATGTTCTAAAACATTTGAATTGAGCACTCTTTCTGTTTAAAATTTAAGAAGAAAGGATCTGAAGTCGAAGTGAAAACTGCTTTAAAAATGCTATCTTATATTTACTGACCTCTTTACTTTAACCTGATTTATTTTTTTACATGTAATTAGCACATTAAACAGCAAAAATGTAAAAATGGTTTTCTTTCAAAATTCTCTAACTTATAGAATGTAATTAAATGAACAATATTGATTATGAAAATTACATCACCTATGACATACCAAAAATTATTTAACGGATAGACAAAATAGCATATTTAAACTTTACTTGAGATTTGTAATGACAATATATGTAGTACAGAGAAGAAACCAAGAAGAATAAACCCCAAAACTGTATTTTATTACTTGTAACACTACACAACTTTAAAAAGCATTATTTCAAACCATAGCCTCACCAATTCTGTTAGTGAGCACTGTTGCAAGAAATTGCTGTCCACAGTTATGGAAGAAAAAAAAATATGTAGTGTAAACAGTCCTGAAAAACTATAATATGAACAGTTATAGTTATTTCTTATTAAATGAAATTCCGATACTTTATAGGGCCATCTTAAGCCTTAACAGTTTTGTAGCACTTCAGCATAAAATGGATGAGTTTCTTCAAGTGTAACAAGCTTGTAATACAAACTCTTCTAATACATTCCTGCAGTCACTATTTACTTTTGATCTCTTCTTTGCAATTTTCTTGTCCATGAAATATCAGTATCATATTATAGAGTAGAGAAGAAATTAAATGATTCAAAAAGTACAAATGCAATTCAATTCAAATCAAATGTAATTAATAATAAATACATTATGAAATACAATTTTCAAAATGTTTGCTATGAGACAATCAAATTCTATAGGCATTTATAAAATTATACAAATATAATCATCCATAAACCCAATTATTAGGTTAAAGCCAAACAACTGCTGGATTATATTGGGCTATATTAATACTACTATTAATACCTAACATTTAATTATTAATAATAGCATTAATATAGCTTGATATAATCAAGCAATTGTTTAGCTTTAATCATTCATACAACTGATCAATAATATCATGCCTGAAAGCTGTTGAAATTCCTTTCACTGTGTGTCTGATGTGTTCCTGAAGAATCTGTAGGCTTTCTTTAGGAGAGAGAAACTTTAACTGTAGTAGCCACCATATTGCAGTTTAAATTTAGAATCATTTGATATCACCTCCAGAGCTATCAATCTGGAATCATATTCTTTGAGATCATCAAATGTTTTGCATATACAGTAGAGTGTCGTTTATACGAAAGAATTCCAGTCGGCAAATTTAAATTTTCGCTAGTGCTGTGGCACTGCAATCTTTGGCTATATCTTGGGCTACTCCAATATTTTTTTTTGTTGATGTGTGTGTTTTAGCTGGCAGCACTGGCACTTTTGTGTGGTGTTTTTCTGAGGATTGTGTGTCATGCTGAATCGAACGTTTTTGATACTAGATTAACTTCTAAAGTATAATTTTTTTTGTTTTTATATTTTTCAATATATTTATTTTGTTTGTAAAAAAATAAAGAAATAATTTTTAACAATACAATAGCCACGATTATTATTTTAAGAAGTTAACATCAATGAAAGTTTAACGCGAAGCGACACACAACGGAGAAAAATTTCAACATGGGATAGGTTAATATATTTTTTTGTACATAATTGGTTATCTGAACAACCCCAGTCCCCAATTGATTTGGATAAACAACACTCTACTGTATGTATAGTAGTACATGCCAACTATACTTCTACTAAACTCTTAAACATAACAAAATGTTCAAAACTTGCAGTATTTTTCTGCCAGTACATATATATGCACCACCTTGTACTACACAACATCTTTTTTTGGTGACAGATCCAAAGCTAGAGGGGAGCCAGGGATGGCTCAGCACCTCCAAAAAATTTTTGGCCACCTGTCCATTGTTCCATAGAACTAACTTTTAACTATTTAATACATTATTATTTAATAATATACATACAAACAGCACAGAAATATTCAAAATTTAAACATTAAAAATTTTGTCATTTGGAACAATATATAACAATTTCATATATTTCAAAAAGTTTCTGGGAAAAGGTTTCAAACGTTTCTATGGGATATGTGACCCTAAGACCATCCCATCCAGTAAGACCATTCCACAACTTGCTAGAGCCACTCTACTATAGTAATTCTTGCTATGCCATTGTTTGGTGACATAGAGGAGTGTCATCCAGGAAGATGAAGGATTTGTGTCATAAAATCATGATTGCTAGAATTAGCTCAGCAGTTAGGATATTTGTAAGTACTCTTTATTCACAAACCAATTTACATATAGTCTGCTGACACATAGCTTCCACATGCCATTTGACTCATCAGAAACCTTATGGTCTGCATTAAACAATCCTTGTTATAAACTACCTTTTCTATGGTTAATTAATTAACCTATAGCTTGCTATCAGATTTGTGTAAGTTATAGATTCATATGAAAATATAACAGAATCCCAT